TCAGCAGGATATGTCCAATGCAAGATAAGCTGGTAGAATGATTAGCTGTTTAGGCAACAAAATTAAAAGCTGTTTGAAGAGGTATTATTAAAACAAAGAAAATTGCTTTCCATGACTGTGCATGTTAGTAACACTTACATTATTTATTTAGATTTATACATAAACTAAAAAAAAGCACATGCATACGCTCTAGGCTTCCTTGGCACAAACTAAAAATAAAACATAACTAAAATGCAGTTTGACTGCATGACACTTTGCTGAGAGCAAGCACAAAAGAACAAACACAGGTACAGGGAATCAAAACGGGAAGCCACCTCGGAGAAAGAGAGCGCTGAATCCACTGACGTCCTCTGCAGACAACTCCGTGAGAATCTAAATTACTGTATTTAGTGCATGGGTACCACCATGACTGGACTTCATAAAAGCCCAGGAGAGGCAAAGACAAGTGAAAAAATCAATTGGATATTTGCAGGTGAAAAAAACCCACCTCCAGCATTTTTCTCAGCTCTGATAACTGAAGGTTATCAGGACCTTGTTTTTCGCCGCCTCTAAAACACAGAATCTCTGAACAGCACAAACCCCCTTTACAAAAATAAAATAGTGGTTGAGTACCACTTACATCTGTATTGAATCATACTGCTTGCTGGGCCGTCATGCTATCCCCTCGTGTCAGGTTTGTCTAGGATTATTAGGGAACAAACACTTCCATCTTTTAGTTACAGCAAACCAGGACTGGAACATCATTAAATAAAGAAATATGTAGAGGTTTCCCAAATCTCAGTAGGAAATGTAGACCCCTTAAAACATAGTTGAAAAGCCTCAAGGGAGAGGCAGCAAACAAAGAAAAGAATTTCCTAAGATGTGGGAACGGAGCATCGCTTCGGGAGTATTGACACAACACACAAAATGGTTGGCAATGCTAATTGAAGCCCTCTAGCTTGTTGTGATTTCTCAGCACCGTTCACTGCAGACTTGATAAACACAGCTGGCTCAGCGCATGGGTGAGACGGCTTCTCTGAATCGAAACTCGTCAGGAGTTTGTTTAATAGTGGCTGAGTCGCTTGCTAGTAAGCCTGTGACATCCCTACTGGGAGAGTTGAAAGGATGGCTACAAAGAAGCTGATAATCTAGGGGGAAAGATGCATTATTTTTAGTGTTTGGAAACAACATTACGATGTTTGCTAACCCTAACTAGTCCATTAAAGACGGTCTAATGTGCTTTAATGAGAAAGCCAGTACTTTCACTGGATACTGGATCCAGTACCCAGTATCACTGGATACTAAAGGGATTAATGGGAAAGATATTTTAAAGTTGATCTTTGCACTAGTGATAATAACAAAATAGTTTTCAATCAAGCTTATTTTCCAGAGTATACACAGTTTGCTTATGTTTGGCTCTTCCCCAGTAGTAGGCAGTGAAAGTCTACTGGTCAGCTTCACTTTCTGATTCTCATATGCTTCTTATATACTAGCAGAATTTTAGGTTGTAGGGGGGATGAGGATCTTATATAGTTGGGAAGAACTTAAAAATAAATCTGTTTTTGCAGGGGGGAAAAAAAAGACTCAATTAAAATATTTACATTCTTCTGCGAGCAAGCTCTTCCCACTCTCCATCACTCCCTGCATCCTGCTGTTATGAATTTTGGAGCAGCCTGTTTTCTCTCCGAGTCTGAGACTGGTACGTTCCAAGAATCTGACATTTGCAAGAAGAAAACGAATACAACTGTTAATGGAAATGCCACAGCAAGCCTCTCTTTTGTTATGTTAGGATACAAATGCATTAAACTGAAGTCAAATGTATTCACGCAGATCTATTATTTCAGTTAAAACCAGAGAAATCCTCATGTTTGAGCCAGATTGGATGCACCTGCAGAGGGACAGATGAGTTAAAGGAGCGTATATTACTCTGTGCACTGTTCTGGCATAATGGAGAGACTTGGGGAGCATAAAGGAAAAGTGAGGCCTAACAAGGCTTAATCCTATGCAGCAGGTGGCCTTTCCATGCTGTTGCTATATCACTTTTTTCCTGACAGACTCCTTGTACTTGTCATAAACAGCTTTTTGAGGTGGTGAGCGAGGACATAGAGGCGCCCTCATTGTTATGTACAGGGAGTAGCAAATTGTGGAAATGGGGAGTATTGGGTGTTGGCTCAGTTCATAGCTGCTTCCCAAGTCCCTGCAGCCCTCCCAGGAAAGGGTTTGCCTAGGACTGAAATACGTAACGGGGATATTGCATTGATGACAGGCTTTTCTTCCTACTCTGGCCGCCCCTCTCTGCTCATTAAAGCAGTTTGGTTGGTGCATAAGGGTTGAGGTCCCTTTCTCCCCTTCCAGGATTTAAGAACAAGCTTGACCCAAGCAGTCCCCTCCAGTTCTATATATCTTGTGAAGAGTAGGTTCAGTATTTGGTGCCATTTTAAATTTTAGGTTCAAGTTTAACCCCACATTGTGGGAATAAATGGCCCTGGGCCTTTTGTGTGGGGCACCTTGCAAGTGCCAAGTACTGGTTTAGTGATAGTGGCGTTTATTTTGCTCTGCTTTCCTCCTGAGTTTTTGCCATGCACTGTCTTCTGATGCTTTTATTTTCTGTTTCTTTTCTTTATTCCGGTGCCTTAAGGAAGTGTAGCGTACGTCCTGCTAAGTTGCCTTTATATGAATTTGCCAAAGAATTGTGAGTAACTTACTCCAGCGCCTCTTCTACATGTGACGGGGGTTTAGTCCCCTAAATTGAAATGGTGGGTTATTCATTGCAACTATTAAAAACCCACCGTTTCAATTTAGAGGCTTCTGTTACCATTATGTTTTTTTTCCCCCCATGGAGTCTGCCCATCTCTCCCATGGCTGGGGGATGAGTTGCCAGCAAGCTGTAGGGGGCCCCAGACCTTCCCTCCATGGTGGCAGCACCACCCTGTCCGGGGCTACCTGGGTAGGTTGCTAGTGGGTGGGTGCTGCCCCAGCTCGCAGGCAGCACCCAGCCCAATTCAACTGTTCCCTGAGTCCAAGCTGGGGCAACACCTGCCTACTAGCAGCCTGTCCAGCCAGGTGGCACTGCCGCTGCGGAAGGAAGGACTGGGGCCCTCCATAGCTCAGGAGCTGCCCGGCACACCAGCAGCTTGCCCTCTGGCAATGGGAGACATCGGCAGGCTTTGTGGGAAGGAAAGAAAAAAGGATTGGGCCCTTCAGCCTGCGGCAGGGGGAGTGACTTGTCAAAAGCTGCAACATTACAAATAGCTACGTTGCAAACTAAACTACATGCAGATGTAGTTTAGTTTGCAATGCAGCAACCTAATTTAAATAATAAAAAACCCCACATGTGTACAGCCAGTGTGATGCAATTAAACCGCAAAAACGGCCAATTTTTGTCACATGTACAAGTGCCCCAGAGGGCTAATTGGCAGCCTCTAAACTATGATGAAGTTGCTGCTTTAGCTCAGGTCATTAGCAGGACACTAGCCTAGGGGTGTGAACAACCTGGGTTCTATTTCTAGTGTCAATATCTCGTTCTAAATCCATGACCATTAAACTCAAGACCAAATGATGGCATCCCGACAAAGAGATGAATAAGAAAGAATGAACAAGCACAGAATGTGAAGTTAATATTAACACTTAAGAAACGACCTACACAGAGTCAGCTAGGGAGAGCAGCAGGCCATAAAGAGGCATTGCCAGGGGGCTGAGCTGCCTCTGAGTTACAGGGGGCCCTAGTCCTTCCCTCCACAGTGGTGGCGGCCCCCAAGGCTGCCCAGGCAGGCTGCTAGCAGACCCGGTGCTGCCTCAGCTCTGAGGCAGCACCCAGCCTGATTCAACTGTTCCTCAAGGCTGCACAGGGAGTAGCGCCTGCTGGGCTTCTGGCAGGCAGGCTCAGGAAACAGTTGGATCAGGCTGGGTGCTGCCTCCAAGCTGGGGCAGCATCTGGCCCGCTAGCAGCCCCAGCTGGCGCCACCATTATGGAGGGAAGGACCAGGGTCCCTTGCAGCTCAGGGACCACTTGGCCCACGGGCAGCTCCCCTCCCTCTCCTCTCCAGCTGCAGGAGAGATGAGCAGGCTCCATCAAAAAACACATTTTAAAAAAGGATTGGGCCCCTCGCTGCTTCTGCCTTCAGCAGGCATCTGCTGAAGGCAAAAACGGTGAAGAGACCAATCCTTTTTTTTCTGTGGACTCTGCCCATCTCTTCTGTGGCCAGAGGGCGAGCTGACAGCTGCATTGTTGCAATTTGCAACATTGCAAACTAAACTACACCCAGATGTAGTTTAGTTTCAACAATGCAAACTCATCTAAAACCCCCCAAACTGGCGCACGTGTAATGTGTGATGCTATTAAGCCACACAAATTACATTTTCATCATGTGTACATTGTGACAACCATCACACGTTCAAGTGCTCATAGAGATTTTCCATTGTGAGCAATACAAGGCCTATGGCACAAGTGAGCTGTTCTAACATGAGGCTGTAGAGGGCAGTGGTACATAGGCATGGTCAGCTCATTACATTATTCATTACATCCTAATTAACTTGTTTAAAAAAGACACAACTAGTTTAGACCTTTACAATGTAATATTTAACTGAAAGGTGATGAAATGTGAGAAAGAATGGGTTAAAGCCTAATCCAAATAGAACTATTTTAAAAAATAAATTTTAATTAAAACAATTTGTTAATTGTTTTAGATTTTATTGAAATAGCTGACGACTGTGATGGTAGCAGTGCCACAGACATGCTGATTCTACACCATCTCAGGAATCCCCTGCACCAAGGATATTCCCCAAGAGCAAGGTGACACTGTGTTTTAGAGCATCTTTACTAGGCACAGGAGAAGAAATGTGCTCTTAAATTTTCATCTGGATAGTGTCTGTTTAATTTTTCTTTAGTTCAATACTTTTTTTAGATGTTTTGCAGTAACATTTGCAACTGGGCAAAACCCAGAAATGTCATGTGCACATTAAGGCTACTGACATGTGAAGAATGAAGCCAAATGATAGAGACACTGAAAGAACAGAGAAATGAACTCTACTTACATTTCTCAACAGTTGTAAAAGAGGTGTTTTGGAGTGGTATTGTTAAAAGGGCTGTCCTTGTTTCTGTCATAAATCATGTTTCACAGGGTTTTACTTCCTAGGTATTTCTAATTCTAGTTAGGCAAACTTCAGTGTACCTATCAAAGGCAGTTTTTTTAAAAAAAGAAAAAAACCCATGAAGGCTCTATACAGTTTCAGAGGTTTTAAAAATAGTGAATTAAAATGTATAATTAAAGAAAATAGGAATGAAAAAGACCAGTTTTGGTTATCCAGGCAACCTCCTCCCCTGGGCCTTTCAGGTACAGGTTTTAATGCATAGCAAAGTATCATTTTCTTTTTATGGTAGTTTCTGAAATTTTGGATTCAGCAGTAGACCTTCCCTTTCAGCCAAAATAGCAAACACTTAGGGGAATAAGAAAAAGAAGCTTATGTTTTCACAATGCAATTTTGTATCGAGTTATTTGGGGAAAATAAATAGATAAAGTGAACTGTGAAAGATCATATTTTAGAGGCAGCTCCATGGTGCGGACACTAGTTATTATTTATATAGTTTCTCAGGGAGCATATTAACATTTTTATAGCCCATGAAATACCTCTATACGGAGGGAGTTGTTGGTGTCAGAAGAGCAGGGAGAGCTGGGAGGATGGAGAAGTAGGCCAGTAAAAGCCACTGCTTCCTTCATGGAAACTATTCAATTAATAATAGTCAAAACTTTGAGTCATCCTGCACTGCATTAAGTGGGTAAACTTTGAGTCACTTCACTCTGTTTTAAATGGAAAATCTTTTACCTTCCTTAATTTGTTTTACCATAGCCAAGTGTCCTTCACTTTGTCCTTAGAGGGTCACTCTCAATTTCTTCATTCAAGATGAATTAATTTTTAGTTCAGCCTCAGTTGTTTGTAATCTTTTTCTCCAGATCTTGAGAACAATGTTTCCTTCCCTACCCATTTTGTCTCATGCACTTTGGGAAAGTTTCCTTTGCTCTCTTTCTAGCATGTGTTAATTTTTTCTCTGTAGTGACATTGTTTATTTCCAATTAATTGGATTCAGTCTTCAGACTGAAGCTGATGAACAATGCTTAACATCCAGAGGATGGAAATATTATTGGCTAAATTCAATTCTGCCCCAACTTGTGCTCATCCAGTTTGATCCCTGGTGCAGCTTTCTTAGCTACATTGACTTATGTCCCCTGATACTATAGCCCCATTGATCATGGCAGCACTTAGGACTTGCTGGGATACAGGACTGCCCCTCCAGTGCTGATCCCCCATTAAAATACCCTGAAGCTCTCTGAGTTAGGGACACGAAATGATCAGAGATGACTCTTTGCTGTGTTTTGCTAGTGTTGTTCCACTGGTCGGAAGGAGGAGGCATGGTCCTTCACTGCTGTCCCTATCTGTCATCAATAATGGTGCAAAGGCTTGGGAGAGCCATGGTCAGTCTGACTGCTCTGTCCTGGATGCACACCTGGTTCACATGCTCTGGTATTCCTTTGAAAATCTGAAATAAAAAGGAAGAGCTGTCAGCGGTGCTGCCCTGTCCCACCCTGTGCTACCAGCTGGTCTCTATGCCATGGTTTGCTTTGCTCTCACTTCCTACCTAGGAAGTTTCAGAGCTAAAAATGGTCTCCTATGATGAATGAACACGATGAATAATTACAGCTGAGCTGTTGACACACGTAGAGATAAGAGTTTGTTGGGATGTTCATTATAAACCGCTTGACTGCAGCTCAACATATACAAGGCCGTAACCTGCAGTAATACTATTTTAGATAGAAAGATTAATTTATTTTGCTGTTTCTTAGAGGAGCAGAGATGAAAAGCAAATTTCTTCAGTTTGCTCCTGCGATATAAGAAGCTTTCTGCTGCATTCAGTGGGACTTCTCCATAAATTTTAAAGCTAAGTCTCAGCTCGTATGCAAAATTCCTCCCTTTCCGATCAGCTTCATTAGAGATGCAGACCTTTCAAAGGCAGTGGTTGTGGTGTTGAAGATCCCCTTGGTATCAAGGAGGAAGATGCTGCCCTGGGAAATATTTCCGCACAGAAGGCATGAGGCTCAGCAGGTACCATACTTTGGGTCCGTGAGATTGGGACCTGAAGGCTTTTATTGTGAGTTGACCCCAACTTTATACCTAGCTCTGCATCAGTTTTGGGGATTCCAGTAATCCTAGTAGGGTTATAGCACCTACCAAGAGCCTCACCCAGTGGCCATCTGCCCTCCAGCCCAGGGGACAGGAAGCAGTTCTTTCAGTAGTCCATAAGCATCACTCCTTAGGTTGTTGAGAGGAGGGTGTTGGAAAGCAAGGTGGTTTTGGGGACTACTAGCCCAGTTATGAGCTTGAGTCTCAAATCTGGTGTTACTGTGCATACATAGCGCAGCCTTCGCATGCAGGCTCAGCCCCAAAGCAGCTCTGTCTGCTGTGTAAAGCTGATCTATAACATGCCAGCTCTTGCTAGGGGAGGGAAGCCCTTTCCAGACGGAGTGTGAGGTGTTTCTCTCCAACAGAGGCTGATTCTCAGTTAGGTGAGACGGCTGCTCGCTCAGGAGTTGCTGCTTTGCTGACGCCAGCCTTGGCCTGGCAGAGAGCTCTGCTTGCAGCTCCTTGGCTTTCACTGCAGTCCGCGTCAAGCAACACAAGCTGCGGCAGCACCAGCTCCTCCTGGCTCCCAGGTAAATTTAAAATACAAACCTCTAACTCTAATAGAGATCCACCTCCCCATGGCCCGTCTCCAAGTGGAGTTTGTGTGTGGGGATTTATGGCAGTGGCTGTAATGTCTTCCTGCTATATCCTGGTTTAAGGATGCAGATCATTGCCCTGCAAGCTAAAGCAAAATCCCCAATGCCTGCAGTGGGCTTCAAACTGAGAGAGACTATCTCTCCCAAACATGCTCCCCTGACTCTTCCCTTTCAGTGCAGCTGGCCAGAACTTTTTAAACAGATTCTAACGCAGTAGCTTCCCTTTTGAGTTACCAAGCTTATAATCACTTTATTCTTAACATTATAGGCCAAACCGTTGCACGGATCCAGGGATTAATGCAAAAGATGGAGAGCCAGGATTCTGGTGTAACCTCTTTGCCTGCATGGCCGTGACAGGCATCACAGAGATGCTCACATACCATAGCAAAGTGGTGACACAAACAGCTGTGTTGACAGAGCAATGGAGAAACAGATTTCAGGCCATCCTGGCGCTGCTCTCCTGGATATGTGCCATCAGTCCAGGGGCACTCCAGGGCGGGGAGTGGCTCTCATAAGAATACATCCTTACCACGTGCTCTCAGCAGATGTTACATCGGCTTAAAAAAACTCATAAACTCTGGTGACATATATTTTATACACTATAAACTTCTGCTTTTTCCCTTGCCATGAACTGACTTCTTTACGCCTTCTCCTCATATCTCCGTGATTAAATAATAACTCTCAGACTGAAGAATGTGGCTGGATCTCACCTAATAATTCAAACCATGGTGGGTTGTTAGGCAAGAGGCTGAAGATCGAGTGCCATTTACAGCATCTAGGTGTGAATTATTGTACAATAACTCAGGCCCAGGAGTGTTTCATTGCATGCAGGAGAGAGAGCAAGAGGAAAATACATTAAGCAGCTGGCTGTGATCTATAAGGTATTACACTTATGTCGAGGGGGTCAGATAACATCACGTTCACTGTGAGCAGAGCCCGGGTGGTTTGCGACTGCACCAGAACACGGAGCACCGTGTATCACTTTGCAGTGGTTTTCCCCTGCGCTGTTTTCTGTGCTGGAAGGACGTCACAAATCAAATGTGTTTGATTGAAATCAGGTGTCCAATGTTAGGTTTTCCATCTGACTCAACTGGTTTTTTTTCATTGTAAAATTTGGTTTTGCTTAGAGCAATTACTTGGTGGTTTTAAAAAGCTCATTTTAGTTTCAGAGATTCCTGTGCTTTTCCCGTTTTTAACACACCAGGTTTGGTAATAGCTCTGGAACTGGGATGGACGTTTTAGGAGTACTGGCTGCGTAACCTATTCTGATTTCAAAGTGTGATGAATGGCTAACGACTGGGAGAGGTTGGGACTGGAACATCGGTGGTGTTGCAGCCAAGGAGGGAATGAACCGGAGCTTATTTTATGCTGTCATCTTGTTGAGAGGGCTGCAAAAGTCCATGCAATATTAAATGCACATATTCGCTCTGCCCAAGGGCCCTGATCTGCAGAGATCTGAAGCGGTGCCATGTTTCAGTGCAACTGTTCCTGAAGGAAGATACTAACATGCAAGTGAACGTCACTCCTGCACCGAGGACCAGGACAAAATGCATGTCTTTCTTAAGCCCAATTTATGCCCTTTCTTGGCAGCTGTGGGGCTGATGCTCTGCATCCAGTTGTGCCCATGTGCAAGAGTGGGTCTAATACACTACTCAGTGCAAATGGACATTCACATGCTTTATGCAGGACGTGATTTTCTTTGAAAACCGTGGCCAGCACGGTTACATCATTGATGATAAAAGCAGAGCAAGGCCCGTTTCCCAGTGTCAGCATAACAGCAGCGTTGCATTGACAAGGGGGGAGGACAAACTAATTCCAGCCAGCTCTGCAAAATAAAGCCCCTTGCCTAGCAAACGTGTGCACCACTTCTGATACTGTCACGTTTGCAGCCAGAGACCAGGCCAAATCAAGGGACGGCAGGAATTAGAGCCACTGAATCATCATTTGAAATTTCTCTGGCCAGCGCTACAGATGCCAGAAGGGAAGTGAGCATGGATCAAATTCTGCTCTCTAGTGTACCGATGTTACCTCCTTTTGACTTCAGTTAAGCTGTGGAATTGCTGCTGGCAGAGGGCAAGGATCTGAATAGTGCTCTAACCCTCTTCATTCAGAGCGCCTGATAAAACCTCAGTGTTAGAGGAAACTTAGATTTTCCGATATAATTTTTAAGGCAGATGAAACGCTGGGCGCAGGAGCCTGAAGTCTTCCAGTAATTAAAACACAACCCTGCCTGGACCCTTCAATCTGACGAGGCATTACATATGTAAGGGATGGATCAAATTTGTGCTTATTGATCCAATCAACTGTGGCCATTTTTTCTCATGTGAATAAGGGAGGAGTGATTTGGCTGCAAATGCTCTGAAGGGGCCGTTTGGCTAAGCTAGTGCTTTTGTCAAATCTAAATCTTTAAATCTGACACCTGTGTCAGAGTGAGGTCCCTTTGCGCCTGCCTGTTACCTCCAGGTACTAATGACTTGCAGAGAAGTTTTGCTGACAAGGTAGCATTTGTCCTAGGGTTGTTGAGGGCTGGTCTGTATTGGCTTAATCTCTAGCATAGGTGGGGTTCTGTGCGGAGGGCGGGGGTGAGCAAGAAATAGTTGTACCTGGCTGATTTTGGGCTACAGGGAGCATTGTAGCAAGAGTGCATTGTAGGAAACCCACCAGTCTGTACCAGCCTGGACTTGGGGACCCTGGGCCATCCTGACACACAGAAGGAACAAGCTCCCCTTCTCTGTCCCCAGCTGTCTCTGGCGAAGGGGTGAATTCTCCTGTATAGCCTGGAGAAATGGAAATGCCTTTTTGGGGAGCCTGCAGAATGGAGCCCACCATGCATTTATGGCCAGTGTGCTTTTGTGTTTTGCCTAAGAGCCATTTTTAGATGACGGGGATGCAATAAGCTAATCATAATAATGAGACAAATAATTGAAATACTTCTCAGTCAAAACAAATGCAACCTGTGACTTTCTGGTGGCTGAGACTCACTGCTGAGCAAATGGCTTCAGTTAAGGTGCACAGTCCAGTGGGAGTTTGTCATGGAAATGCTCATGGAGCCCAGATTAGGACAACTCTCTTGCCTTACAGTGGCACGTATTTGGGTGGTGCTTCCCTTTCTCCTTCCTCTTCATGCAGGCTGGGAATGGTTATAGCTGAAATAAATCACTTTGAACGTGACACTGGTTGCATCATTTTACACTCTCCAGATCTTGTTGCATTTATCTTCTACTGCCCTGGGGTCCAGCCCAGGCATCCCGTGGTCTGGTGGCTAGTCTGAGGCTTGGAAGACCTGCGGCCGAGTCCCAGCTCTGCTACCGCAACCTAGGGAAAGTCACGCCCCCAGCTACATGCCTCAGTTTCCCCATATGTAGCAAGAGGAAAATCCGGCTAACCTCCCATGCAAATTGCTTTGTGATCCACATGTGAAAAGCACCACACGAGAGCTAGGCATTGTTATTATTGTATACCCTCTCCTCTGAGCTAATATTTAAGTCCATGCACCTTCTGGGCTACATTTAAGGCCCTTCTTTTGATTTGGGGCTCACGTCATCTCTTGGAAGCAATGCACGGTTGTATGGGCTGAGAGATTCCTACCAAGGAAAGCTAAGATATTTCAGCAGGGTGGTTGGTATTTCCATAAATGTTATTCTTCCCTCTGATGTAGCCCCCTGACTTCACTGCTGTGCTTGCTCTCTTTCACCTCGCCGATGAAGCAGGCTTCCTCACCTGCAGTTGGTATTCAGCTCCCTAGAGCGGTTGGAAAGTTGTCATCTTTGAGAGGAGCTGTATAAACAAGACGGTGATCCTTTGCAGTCTGTGAAGTGATCTATACACATACTGTCCTGAAAACATTTTGATATAAGGTGCTGTGTGAATATAGAAGACATCAAGGCACAGAGCCCTGCTGCGATAGGCCCATTCATATAACTCGCTCCACTGTGAGCAAGAGTGCTGATGCCCAGGTTTTTTATGATCAGCTCTCACAAGATGTTACAGCTGAAACTCGTATTTTACTTCTTTGGGGCCACGGCAAATGAAATGAAACGTGAACCCATCAGAGGCACCCCGCAGGCACTGAAAAAGAAGGTCTAACCCCAGACCACAATTTATAGCAGATCATAATTGCTGTGTTAGTTGTACTCTGGCACTGGCAGGTTTAAAAGATGCTTGCTAGAACAGCTGGGAGACTCTCGTACTAACTCTGCCACCGATGCTGTGTTCAACCTTGGGCAAGTTTAGCCCGGCAGGGCTTCAGGTCCACGATCATAACACGTTTGCCTACCTTTGTCAAGTGCTTTCCAATCTTTGGAAGAAGGATGCTGCATATACAGAGTCTTAAATACTTAGCAGCCCTGGGGGTGTTCTTATTTTCACAAGCTGCAAACAGCCCCAAGGGGCCAAACTCACAGTCACAGATTGGTGCAGAACAGGAACAGCTGCATCTCATCCTGTTTCCTCCAGTTGTGCCCTCACTGGTGTATGAGAGCAGTTTTCTACCCTCCTGGATGATACCCTTCACAGCGCAGTGGTCCTCGCAGGAGCACCAGCGTTGGCACCTGACTGCTGGTGCATTGTATGCAGTGCTGGATTCTCACCCAGCCAACACCGAAAAGCAGACAGGGCTAGATTTATTCCTCAGCTACTTAAAAGGCAATAACAGCCATGGCCCCGCACAGCAGCTGCACTGATAGGCAGAGGGGCATGACAAATGCTCCGACACATTATTGTATGTAGCTGGTATTCAACAACCTCTTCATCGACTCTGATTTGTCAGCAGAAGCGCCGGTAATCTCCTGGCAGAACTGCCTGCACTCGTGCTCTTGTTCGCAGCCTCTGGATGAGTGTTGTCGGAGAGAGACGAATCAGCCCCCAGTTCCAGCTCTTGTGCGCCAGTGAGAGCCAACGCACACTTTTCTTCTAAGGTGTTGCTAGTAACAGCATCAAAGAGCTGCCAGAGCCGAGGCAGAACAAAGCAGCTCTGCTGAATGGGGAAAAGCAGGCAGCCGCAAGGGTAGCTGGAGAGGAGAGGGGGTTCTGGCTCCGTGAGCGTGCCCTCTTTATTTATCTCGGTCGGCAGCAACCCCGCAGAGGCAGAGGGAGGAAAGAAACTGCCCTCTCTTTATTACCAGGCCCAGAATGGTAGAGGCTGGGGATGGGGATTGGCTTCCTGCCAGCTGCTCAATGACATGCAAGATCGGTTCCTGAGCTGCAGCTCAGCTCCCACCATCTTGCATTGTGCTCCTGTGAGGTCTCACAAGCCTGGCTGGGCATGAGAAGTACTATATTTGCATAGGTGCCGTCCAGCGAGTGGTGCAGAGAACGCAGAACGGGGTGCTGTTCCTCCCGAGCTAATAGTCCCGTGCGTGGCTAGGGGGCTGGAGTGGTGGGGGGGGATGCTCTTTTTTAGGATGAGTCAAAAACCACTCGTGGTCAATGAGGATTCCCGGGGGCTCTTCATGCCTGCTGGGGTGTTAAACTCAGGGTCCAGGCTCAAATCTAGTTTGGGAAATGACATCAGAGCCCCTCTAATTCCTCCCCCGTACTTTCAGTGGGATATGGATGCCTTTCCCACTTCCTGTCCTACCCTGCCGGATGATGTTAAATCACTTTCATGTGCCACCTCAGCAGC